GCCTGCTCTATCATGTTCATCAATTTTTGTGGTAACAGGTGAACAATGAATGATCGTTCTGCTATGGTCGCGGACGACAAGTTACCGATATTCTGATGTGTTGGTAACGACGACGACGATGATGTTCCATTACCAACGCCATTGACGGCGGTAGAGCTGCCATCCGGCATCCGGTACATTCGGAAACGGCTCTTGGGCCGTAGCACTGGTTCGCGGATTTCTCCAGTCGTCCCGTTTCCAACGCCCACACGGCCAACAGTGGCCTGTACCACCTCGTCGTACGGGAATTGATCGTCCGACTCTGTAGCTGGACGATCAACCAGCACGCCGCTGCCTCCAGTGGCCGTCTTGTTGACCGTCCGACCGGCCCCGTTGGCCGAGAACCCGCGACCCGACTGTTCACGCCTATCCGACGACGGATCTAAGCTATTACCGGCCGGCCCCGCCTCGATGTCTACAAGCGGCATCCACGGCACGTTCATGTACTCCTTGATACCCACGCCCAACGTGGCGCTGAGCCCGACCGATCCAGCGGCGGCGGTGGCTAGATCACTGGGAGCAGTCAAATCCACGTCCCCGGCGCTAGAAAGGTGTGCAGCGGACGTATCGTTGATGTGCTGCTGGCCGTACTCCTCTGGTTGGCCATTGTGCATCTGCAGGTCGATTTTGTCGCCAATTTCTCCACCCTGTAGCGATTGACAGTTTTATTATGGTAATGTTATTTGTTCAATGTCATGTATATATCAAGAAGTCTAAAGATTATCACATCTAATTCTATTACAACGGGTATAACCTAATATATTTCATTACATATTTCTCGTTAAGCTTGTTGGTCGTACTTAAGGCTACTTTTACCTGTCTGGATGTATGATGTTTTATTGGTATTTTTCAATAAATATGCAACATTTTAAAACATTACCTTTGATATTCATTTTTTTAGATTTTAATATTATTATGCATAAATACACATTGTTCATATTTGGTATAACATGAATTATATTAATATATTATTAAATAATAACAATGTATATACAATGATAATATTATGTTCGAATGCGTAATTTTAAGACTTATAAAATGTATAATTGGTATCTAAGTATATTTTTAAAAAAACTATAGCGTGCTAATTGAATGAAAAAACCAATTAAATGTCATAACCCTCTATACACTATATTTTAAACGGTGTGTTAAATTAGTCATGGATGTGACTACCACGTATATTRCATACGAGCTTGGTCTAAATATTTCTAGTCTCAAAGGTATGTGTAGAAAAATCATAAAYGATGGAATAATGGAAAATAATGAGCTCATGTAATCTTTGAATGTGGCAATAGTGTGTTTTAGAGTGAAGAGACGCGCGGTCTGTAGTTTTGGCCTTTATTGAAGAGAGTCAGGTGAAATATGAATTATTAAACTAATGAAAATAATAAAAACATTATTAAAAATGTATCAATACATAACTCTCATGTGATGAGAAATTATGGTATATTCGTTTCTTTATTATCTTATGACTTATGAATAAAACATTACGCGACTGCGGCCTGTTACAAGTACATACAAACATAAAAAAAAAAMCATAATTSCACTATTTCGTCATACTACTCGTATGTTATAGAATGAGCATATGATATGTTATATTTACAACATTCAATTGTGTTTTTTTAAGTAAACGTTTCATATACGTTTCATTCAAATGGACCCTTGCACGTTTTAGTTTTTGAACACTTAATAACAAAGACTTTTTTATATGAAGTATTTAACGATATTTTATTTCCAAACAAGACTTTCGATCATTTAGAATAAATTATGTAAATTTAAATTGGAAATAAATATTGTGGCATGTARTTATTAATCTTTAAGGACATATCCCAAGTAAGCAAATATCTTAAACTTGTTTTTTTATAGTTTAAAAAAACCTCCTCTAAACCCTACAGCTATTAATACAGGAAACGATATTACGTCGTACCCAAACGTTCCAAACAATTTACATAGCTATATCAAATTTAATTATTGTTAATTTAATATTATCTGTTTGGCACTGTAGGGATGCAGGGAGGCAGACTTAACCTAATGATCGACCGAAAAATTTAAAAAAAATAAAACAAAACTATAAAATAATAATAATTTTCATCGTTTCCTTACGTTGATCTGTGGCATAAATTCAGGCAGGTTACAATCRCCTGGGTATAGAGGCAACACGACAGGCACTTCTGATTGCATTACTAAGCCCCTCTGGCAAACAGACTGGCTGAAATTTATTTGAAACAACGTTTAAAATATGGGAAATATTAAATTATATTGTGATAAATAAATGAGTAAAAATCATTAAATCAAGTATTTATTTTGTRAAATGTCTAATAGAGTTAAAWATAACCTTAAAACAYATAGTATAGAAAAATTAAGTTAGCAACTCCAACATTCATAAAATTATTGAATTTGTTATATTATATTGCAGRATGATTTTAAAACACATTTTTTGCATTTGAGTTGTTTTTCCAAAATACTTTTACGTCACTCGTTTTTATAATAAATATTATAATGTTGATGTTTATTACCTATTCCCATAACTGTCAGTCAATATAAATTTGTCGATACTCCACTTGGACAGTCCATTTGAYAGCCATCCTTTGTAAGCAGTGTATGTGATCTGAACTTTACTGAAGCCCTGCAACGCGGGATGTGGCACGATGATCTTTTTCATTGTCTCGCCCACCGACAGTGCCGCGTCGTCTTTGCTACGACAATCAAAATGCGTGAAAATATTATCACTTAAAATCTATGATGGGAAAAGTGTTATAGTCTTAGCAATTAATATCTTAATGACGCGTTATGTGTAACCTTTTTTATTTTTATTCAAATAATAATTATGTCCTCTAAACGATTTTTGTTAAAAGAGTAAATATGTATRCGATATGTGTTTATTAAATAWTTGYATATAAATATATAATACTCCCTATTGCTGATTTCAACACTAATATCAAGCTTGTGAAAATATGAGGTATAATAGGCGATAAATCACAAGAAAAAACATACCATCAGTCCSATTCCGTTCAAACATGACRTTTTTTTAAAATTATTATGWGCAAAAAGGAAATATACGTACACGTTATTTAAGGTATAAAATGCAATAGTTATTTATCGAACGTTAATACTTACTTTGTGATAGTAAACGTTTCGTTTATATCGAGTGGACCAAACAAAACAACTTGTATTTTTCCGTAACTGACCACAGGCAGCGCACTAGGAGAATTGTGGATTTTGACTATGTATTGGTGCGCTATAATTATTATGAGGAAATAAAATAAAAGAAGTATTTTTAATAATGTTAAGAATTACAATCATAAGCGTTTTTTATTATAATACCTCAGCATTCTTTAAAAATCAATTAGTTCAAAGTCAATTTGCAATATTATAGTCTTTCAAAAGTCGTGTTTATCATATTGTTAAATGTACTCGAAAGTGACTAGAGTCTCGGATGAACTGAGTATAGCCTGAGAATTGARATGAGATTATGTAACTGGCTTTCAAATWAGCCATCGAGGACTTGTTATAATATGTATAGTAATGTGTGAGTGTTATAATTGTAACAGCAATTTTTGTACAATCAACATGAATTGTATTAAATTAATCCAAATCGAATTAACTTACAAAAATTAAATCAAAAAAAAATTTAGAAAATTTTTGCTTCGGTATAGAATAATGGCGTGGTATTATGATTTAACATATTATTAAAAACGTTTAATATTAAAGTAGGCGTCTATAATAAACATATATTATATTATACCACTTCCTATATATTATGTAAAACAATATATAAATATATTTTGTATATTGAAKTCGAAGTGGTCAAGAATTCGTTAGGTTTACATCACCAAATGGCAAACATGTTATCGATATATTTTGACAGTTTTTATTTTTAAATGTGCTACATTGAGTAAATTTTGGACTAGTAATTAAACGAGGACGACCATTTCTCATGCAAACGTAGACGCATAAGAAGACCTTCTAACTTATGTATCAGAACTGAACTGGTTATGCGTAGGTATCTGTGTAGTATCCGCCACCACTAATTTAAAATATACATTAACCAAATAAATCAAAATTAAAAAGCTAGTTCTAGTTTCTGAAACAATCATGAAATATGTAGGTACCTGCATAAAATACCTCTAAGTTATTCTTAGGTAGGTAAACAATCGCACGTTGCTTATTTGGCCTAATACACACACGAT